GTTAGGAAAATCAAAAATGTGAGTAGACCTATAGGTCTAGCTAACTCTTATTCCTCTAGAAAATAATAGAAAAAAGAAATATTGGGTACCTATGTAACTTTATTGCTGTTGCGAGAATAATATAGATGAATGGAAGTTGCAGCTCTTAATATAATGAAGCCTCGCCATGGTATCTCCATATATATTGTCTTTTCGACGTGTTTTCATGTTCTATACTATGGGTGACATGTAGGTGGCGCTCTTGTAAACAAATGGCAACAGAATTGTCCTTTGGCATCCCAAATGCCCAGATGAAAACGCTCATATACATAATACCTGGTCACAATTTGTGGAACAAACGTCACTATTTTTGTTTGTTACAAAATATATACAATATGTTAAATATAAGCTTTATAACTTTGTGAAGAAAAACGTTTTCAAGTCCCAGGGAGTGAAGTGACAGTAGCTCATGGCAAAGGTTACGTGACAGGGGCTCCTGAAGGAGGTCACGTGACAGGGGCTGAACAGGGAGGTTTGCGAGGGGGGGGGGAGTCTGCAGCCAGATGCCTCTCGAGGTGTTCGCCATTCGAGTGGTACGAGTTCCAGAGCGCTGCAATCGGCTGTCTCGACTGATGAAGCAATGCGAAGCTGCAGCGGCTAACAATGCTAGTTAGCAGGGCTGCAACAGGCTACCTCCACAGCCGTGCAAAGCATTCTTCCAAGCCTCCAAATGTCACAACATTGACGGCAACAAGTGGAGTCACCATTGAGAACGAGATGTGAATGTCCAAAAAATGAAAGTGCTTTTAAAATATATATATATTGTTAGTGCCTTGAGGAGCTCCGGGAAACACGTCTTCACCCCATGGCGTCCAACAGCGCCCCCCCTCCTGTATACCTTTTTTAAGTCAACCGTGGCACCTGGAGGGTTAAGACCAACTAAACTAGAATGTACTGTAAGTTCACGGTTGATCATACAAGGACAAACATACTTTTTTGGCGCATCTTCTTGGCACTACTTCGTGTAATTTCATGCAGGCGGTAAAGACTAATGTATGTTCTAAATGCCGTAGTCACCTCAAGGCATTATTTTAAGTAGAAGCCAATTCGCTTCTTGCGGAATACCTTAATGCTTTGAGCCTTGGGGGATAGCTACGGGTAATGAGCTGTAGATGATCGATTCGTTTCGGCTGTTGTTTTGAAAGAAGGTAAAAAACGACTCGGTGTGCTCATTAATGCTCCAACACCTTTTCTGTGGAGGGACCGAATATAATATTTTCATTTTTCATTACAGCTACATGTTTGATATGTGTTCTAAGATAACATGTCAACATATACAACTGGTACAGAACATATTTGGCCTTCGCTGAACAACTGTATTAGATAAACTGTATTCATCTCGCTATAGAGAAACAGAGAGAAAGTGGAATACTCTTAGTTTCGAGCTGACAAATTGTAAATAGAGGTTCATTTGTGTATTGATATTGCGATGTATAACACATGGTGTAACTAGGGAAACTATTGTTGCTTGATTGTATAGTTGTTTATATATTTCTATGTATAAGTATAAACTGTAAGCACAGCAGGCAACATGTATGTATAAAGAATCATCTAAGGAATGTAAATATTGTAAATACTTATGATTGTAAAATTTCTGCTCGAATGAATAAAAAAAAAAATCAATCAAATCAATCAATAGTTAAAGATACAATGTCATAATTTTTTTTGTATGTGGCCATTAATAAAGATTCTGATTCTGTTGACAAGACCATTAACACCGCGTTAACTAGTGTGACAATAACAAAAATTCTTTAAAGGTACACTGTACAGATTTTACTCCCATCTAGCATTGAGATCATATATTATAATTTACGATACGATAAGATAAGATAGACTTTGACAGTTTTCCCCAACTCCCGCTCAATCTCCTTTTTGTCCCTTATTCACCACTGTATTTCAAGATGGCGCATTAACACGTAGAGTCCTCCAGCCTCATGGACATTTTTAAGTCAAATTCTAAGACTATGACAAGAAGTGGTGGAGGCAAATATTCTTAAAAAGGACAACTGTAAAAATGACTCAGAGTACCTTTTGAAAAAATGTGTTCATCCAGATGCTGCATTTAGAATTGATGGAGAATGATGTTCTGTTTACGTGCTGAGACGCTGCGACAGTAAAACAATAGAGTTGGTATCAGTTTGGCCTTTTGTTTATAAGAAGACGCTAGCCTTGAGAAACAGCCTCCAGAGTGGATCAGAACAGAGAGGCTGCGGCGGAGGCTGATGTGAATTCTCTGTCTGCTATGACCTCAGCACCTCCCCTACGTACATTCGGACACACGCATTAGCCGAGAACAAACGTAAACAACAATGGCGGCGGGTTGACTAATGCTAAGTGTATTTTCGCAGCTGCTGTTAAATGCAGAAAGATTTTGGTGGATTCTTTCATATCTGTGCCTTAGCCTGAGGAGGATGTTGTTGAGGAAGTGATTATACTGCTGGCGATCGCGTGTGTCGTGTTGTAAAGTTCCACTGCCCCCTACTGGCCTGGAGCTAGAACTACATATTTTTCCATAGCCCTGTGCACTTCGAATACAGATCCTGGTTGTTTTTGCAAATTGCTTTGAAGCGTTGCTGTCTAAACGGGCCCTGAGTCTCTCATTAATGTTGCCAGTGATTTCCAGACTTCCAATCTGCTGTATCATGCATTTTTATCTCCAATTCCCTTTTCTCCCATTGAAATTGTATCTAGTATCACATCAAAGTTCCCTCTCAAAAACTCATATAATCTTTTTTTTCTCTCTTTAATCCGCTGCGATCCGATAAGTATTTCTTTCAGTCTTCGTTGCTTCTGTCAGCAGCCAAGAGACCAATTAGTCAAGAGTTTGGCTCACATTGTCCATAAGCAGAGGGCAGTGAAGGACAAAGGGTGAGGCGGCATTTTTTGTTTTAAGCAGTCTTGTGTGAAGAACGTGAACATGTTAGTTACTCATAAAATGTTGCGTTTTATTTTAATTCAAATAATTCCCTTGACATTGCAGCTTCAAAATATATGTACTGTATTCTGTTGTGTGTCTCACGTATGTTGTCAATTCATCACAATGTTTTCATGGCTGTGTTTATTGCTGAGTCATTTCTCGGATAAAAAAACAAAACCACATACAGTAGAAACCGGCACGACTGTGGTGTGTGAGTCATTCAGCAGGAGACCAGTTTTCGACGTCTGTTGGAGATGGTGCTGACAGTCTGTCTGAGGTGTCATATAGCGTCATATATTCTAGACAACTTCACAGATTCAATACAGACGAGTAGATGGCAGATCACAAACTGGAATTCCAAATACACATTTTTATAGAATTGTTGGTTTACTATAGTTAATGTGGTGTTAATAGGGTTCAGCCATCACAATCAGATTCTTTATTAATGGCCAGCTGTTTTGAAGGCTGCTGGAAAATGCATCCAATACAGTTTTTGTTAAAGACACAGACAACAAAAAAGGCATTCCAGTTAGTGGGTTTGAGGCAGTTATCGGGGCAAAAAGCGCAACGAGAGATTTTACAGTATAGTTACTTCATTATTATATTTTACTCTTAATTCTTGATTCTTTATCATGCTAAAGTAAGAAATTCTAGACTTATTTGGTTCTTTTTGAGCCAAAGTTAGAGATTATATACTTGCCTCTTTATTATGCTAAATTTGGAGATTTTAGACTTAATTCTTTCTTCTTTATTATGAAAAAGTAAGACGTTTTAGACTTAATTCTTGCTTCTTTATTACGATTAACTTGGAGATTTTATACTTAATCCTTGCTTCTTTATTATGCAACATTTAGGGATTTTATACTTGCTTCTTTATTATGCTAAAGTAGGAGATTTTATACTTACTAGATATTCACATGCAAATCTAACAAAACCCGATATACAGTATTCTCCAATGGTTATGAGTCAGAACTTCTGACCCTAATTCTCATAAGGCAACAGCCTCAGTGTAAATATTATGGTTGACCAATTAGAGAGCCCTGAAGTAACACAGATATACCTGTTAGCTTGCATATTTCTTTTCAAACCAAACTGACCTTTAAAAAGGCTCGGTATAGGCGCCCGACGCAAAACCTCCCTAACATCATCGAAAACGCAGGTAGTGATGGGGAAGCATGGAAGAATGAGTCACGAACAAGAGGAAGAGAGAGAGAGAGAAAGAGAGTGAGAGTAAATGACCGGCCGCAAAGACGACAGAAGGCGGGAGTCAAATCTGGGATGCGAGGAAGCACGCAGCATGAAATGGAAAGGATGTCAGCGGAGGGGAGAAGACGACTCGTTCTGCCACTGAGCGTTCCTGTCTGAAGGAGCAGACCGCCTCTCTCTACTTTGCTACGTCACAACAGACTGAGACGGAAGGCGCTGAAGCTGAGGAAGCCAATAGCCACTTCCCAGACATGCTGCCGGTAGGAAGAGAGAGAAGAGGCTAACTTTTAACATGTTTTACTGGCGTGTAATCTTGAAAGCACGTTCTGGGAGGGATTTATCACCCGAAAAAACAAGCATCAACAACATTTAATTTTTTGTTTTTAAGCTACATTGAGCGCTTGAGTCGTCTTGGAGAACTACCGAAAAAGTAAGACAAACAAACACCTCAAGGAACGAAGACGACAGGATTGGTTAGGTGTCAGGAATCCTCACGTTAACATTAATTTCTCTATTTGGACTTTAGTCAACTCCAAGTTAAGCCAGATTAGGGCCGCAAGTGTGGATCGACAAGGCTGCTGTGGAATGTCGTGACCCACAAATGCAAAATGAAGTTAATGACTGCATTCCCGAGTGCTGCTTTGACGAATGGACACATCAGTGCTGAGTCACCACAGGGATAACAGGTGCCACGCTGCTCGCTCCAATTAGATTTTTTTAAAGCTTTTTTTTCCCATCTAAATTTTGGCGCTGCTGTCAGGATTGTCCACTGCTTCAGTCGTCACTCTCTTCCAAAAATGGGACCATATTTTGACGTAGAGCAGAGATAGTTAGCACAATGGTGGTGACACGTTTGGAGCTGGAGTTGCGGTACCACGGGGAGAAGTTGCGTGGCGTCACATGGAAGTTGACCCGATCGGAGCATGGGTTCCTTCCAGAGAGTTCCTGGCTGATCGCTGCTCAGGTCACCGTGCCTCTGCTGGTGTCCGGGCTCGGGATGGTCTCCGCCGGAATCGTCATGGATCTTATACAAGTACGGAAAACTGAGACGTCCCTTATGTACGCCTTTTCAATGCTGTTTATTTTTGTGTATCCCTAAATCACAACCGTAATCTTGTCGCAGGTATTCAACAAAACACAGAAAATGCAATAATAACAAATACATAGGAGCCATTGTGGATATGACCAATGTCCGTAAATGTTGATTTGAAAATGTAAATGTACTTTTGAAAAAGGATCGCAAATATTCTATAGAGATGTATTTGTACACTGGATAAGAAAATCCTTGGAAAATTGGAAAACATATTTGAAAATACTGTTTCAAATGAGTAAAATGATCTGCCAATTGAACAACAAAATATGACCTGAACAGAGAAAATAATATTAGCCCCAAATGACTCGATTCTAGTTTAACAACATACATTTCAAGAATTATTTACTTAATATTTATTTACTATTTTATTAAACTATAGCATCACACACCTATTTTATCTGAAAAAACTAAACTGCTTTTTTCTCTAAGATTATGAAGTGTCTTGAAACTAGTAAAATAATCTTACACAACAAACTACATTCAAGCAAAAAAAAACAAAAAAACATATGATAAATAGAATAAATAAATCCCACCAAGATGTACTTTTTCAGTGTATCTGTAAATCCTCAGGTACAATGCACTTTAACTTTTGTGGCCTACTTTCAGGCTTAGCGTTGACGACTCTCCTTTAAGCCACACGTACTAATAATAATTTCTTTACCTCTAAATGGATGAGTGACCCTTTCTTTTATCACTTACTTTATCACTTCAGGCGAGCTCATAAAATCCTTTCATGATTTATTCCACCCTTCCACATTTGTAAACAGATTTTCCAAAATATTTCAGATACATTTCATGGTTTTGGTTTTGGCAACAAGCACATCGTCGTAATGCAAATGTAGAAAAGCAGGATTCTTTCTTTGAGAAGCCTGAATGCACAAGAATTCAATTATTTTTGAGTTTTAAAACATGTTTGCAGTGGTTTCAGTCAATACTGTGCAGCTTTTTATATATATATATACTAGGATCTTTTTGTACTTCATCACTGTCTTTTTATAACTGGATTTAGTGACTTGGAGGAGGGTACACAACTGTCTCAATCTTTCAACAGGATTGTGTATTCTGCTTTCACTTCAGTTCAGCTGCAGTACTGATGATGCTGCAGTTATAAGTTCAGTGCAGTGGATAAACTTTCTTCCCCCCTTCGACATATGGAACCTACGTCTTCTTTTTCTCTAAATTGAATTACATTTATCAGATTCCGCTTAATGTAATGAAGCCTGCTGGGGGAAGAATATGGAAAGTTGAAGGATGTATACAAAAGTCCTTGTTCAGGGATTTTGTTTGTTATATTTAACTATTTACAGCAGGACCCTTCTCTTCACTATCACATCCTACAATAATGCATTTGTCCTGGGATAACTTGGAGAGGCAGTCAGTGGTTCTTGGCTCGTGGCCCATCTGCTTTAGGCAGCAGTCACACTGAAGTGGGCCATGTCCCAAGATAGAAAAATGACAGCCACCAGCGAGACCCACTGTCCCGGGCCCAGGGTTAAAATAGACTATTTACATATCTGTATATAAAGACTGGCAGGGGAAGCTTGTAAATGACAATAACACTTTGAATCAAATTACTAACTACAAGGTAGAGCAATGGCCTTTGGGCCTGAAGGTTGTGGGTTCGAGCCCACCATGAGACCTATTTCAAGGCTCCCACCCACTGATATCTGCTGTCATTGTGTCCTTGGGCAAGACACTTAACCCCACTTTGCCTAAAGCCCCCGCTGAAAGATCAAGTTTCTTGTGGACTCACCACCTGCAGGAGGATCAGTGAAGGGCTGGTGCTCTGTGTACTGGGTGCAGCTCTGACTGCCACCCCCAGACCCAGAAATGGACTAGGGGGAAGCAAATGGATGGATGGATGGATACTAACTACAAGACACAGACTAATCGTGAGCACTGACAAGATTCTTTTAAAGATTGCTTTTTGTGCCACCTGCAGCCTCTTGATTTCTATAAAAATCTCTCTTATCTGCCTTAAAAAAGACAATTATTTCTGAGAATATCTGCTTGAAAAAACAATTTTAAAAACTCAATGTTGTTTAAATGCCAAAACTACCACTCTTTACTACTACTAATACATGATTTAAAAAAAATTGTTCTACTAATGCCCATCTCTTATTTGTTGAGTCTTTCAAATGTCCAATTACCAAATGTCTACTGTCGTCATAGAACCAAATAGACCTTGACCTCACATCACAGTCTCTGCACTGGCAGTTTATAAAAAGTCTACAAAGGTAATGGACATCCTCTTAGTATTCACATTCAACCCTCTCCAACCTTGTCTTTTCATGTCTTATCACAGTAATTTCCTGGTGTCTCCTTCCTCAGGACAAACTAGTCTGGCCTGAATCATTTTTTCTCGTTCCATTTCTCATTCTGTTGCCACTCGACAGTTTGCACAGCTCCCTTAAAAAATAGAAAAAATAGAAATGTCTGTGGCCGTGGTTAAACTCGGTGAACCAGGCCGATGTGAGGCGGCGTGAGGAGATGCTCAGAGATGTGGAAACGAGGCTACTGGGTTAGACTTGAATATGTGATGTGTCTAAAGTGCTGACTCTGAATGCATGTGTTCTTGTTCTGCAGCATTGGGAGGTGTTCAAGGTGATCACTGAAGTCTTCATCCTGGTTCCAGCGTTGGTGGGACTCAAAGGAAACTTGGAGATGACCCTGGCTGCTCGGCTCTCCACCGCGGTGAGGAATTCATTTCATTAATTCATTCAGTCATAAATAAGAAGTGTGTGAATTTGGACAAGAGTGCAGTAGTGATGATGATATTTAGTTTATTATACGGCTCCTCACAGCAGCAGTAGAACGCTCTAATGATTTAAATGTAATATCAAAACAGTCTACCGGCCATTATTTCTTCATAACTGACACTCAAAACAAAAATGACCGCTGCCATGGCAACGCACCCTCTGCTTGTAATTCAGATGTGTAGATTACTCCGCAAGTAAATCCGGCCACTTCGTTGCTGTCGGAGCTAGCCACGCTCAATAAACGCAAATACCAATCAATCAACACATTTAAATGTTAATCGGAGAATACTTTATACATATACATTATTAATACACGTGCACAGGGGTTTTCAGAAGTATTTGTTAAGGTGTGAATAACCCGAAAGTAGATTCGCGTCGGGGTCCGCTTCGCCCTGTCGGTACTTATTTTCCGATTATGACCGGCGTAATATACATTATCCCTTTCTTATATCCCACATGTTGTTTTTTGTATCATTAAAACAGAAACTTGTGAATATCATGCTTGTGGCTGTTGCTGGGCATTGCTTTTGATCAATATCTGTCTTTGTTGTTATAAAAACGACACATATTGGCTTCTGGTACAGGATTCAAAAGTTTGCCACTATAAATCTTGGCCAGGACTCCCATGAAAAAGAGGTCCTTAATCTCAATGGGATACAAATAATTCCATATTGAAACCTTCTTTAAAAATATTTGGCCATTCACTATCAAGAACTTTTTGCTCGGACTGTATTCTGATGGTTTTGTTTTCGTGCCCAGGCAAACACGGGTCAGATGGATGATCCTGACAAGCAGTGGTTAATGGTGTTCAGCAATCTGGGCCTTATACAGGTACCGCTACACGACACACGTTTGTTTATGTTTTCTTCCCTATTCTTCTTGTTTTTGATGTAGTCCGTGTCCACTTCTGCCCTTAGGTCCAGGCCACGGTGGTGGGCTTCCTGGCCGCTGTGGCTGCCATATGTTTAGGGGCCATCTCCAGAGGTGGAGTGGAGATGGACCAGGCCGCTGTCCTGTGTGCCAGCAGCATCATCACTGCTTTTGTAGCTGCTCTCTCTTTAGGTCAGGCATAGTTCTCCCCCACAGTGTGTTTTGGACCAACCTCACACAGCATTACACTGACAGAGTAATGGCGCCCTCTAGTGGGAAGATAGAGCCACGTCATATAATGTGACAATGTTCTGGTCTTTTTGTAATAGTCAGTTTCAGGGGAATATTTGATTTAACCTTTATTTAACCAGGAAAAATCCCATTGAGATTAAGCACATTTTTTTTCAAGGGAGTCCTGGCCAAGGGGCAGCAAGTTACACAGAAACATAACAGACAGATGCAATTACATTAATTGACTACACTCACAGCAAGTTAAAAGATTACAGGTAACTGAGGGTAGTTGAGTTAAGTTAAGTATACCACCTTTTATAAGCTTGGACACAAAAAAAGGATAACTATCTCAAAGTCAAATCATGCATTGTGGTTTCAACTCAACTGTGTCTGCTTTCATAGGTTTGATTATGATCGGAGTAATCATTGGTTCCAAAAAGGTGGGCATCAACCCTGACAACGTGGCCACTCCCATAGCAGCCAGTCTCGGTGACCTGATCACGCTGTCCCTGCTGGCCGGGGTCAGCAGTACCCTCTACGAATACATTGGTGAGTATTGGAAACATGTAATCCATTGGCTACACTGGAAAATATCCTTTAAAAAAAAGAAAAGAAAAAAAAGCATATATGAAAATGAGTAAAATAATGCTTCAAATAAGAAAAATGGTCGCCCAATACCACAAGAAAATATGACTTGATAAGATGTCTGAAAGAGATAAAATAATACTAGCCCCAAATGACTTGATTCTAGTTTACAAACGTGCATTTCAAGTATTATTTACTTTTTTCTTATAACATTTATACCATTTTTGAGAATCTTTTTGTAAAATATAGCATACGATGTCTGGAATGTCAGACATTTTTCTCTAATAAGATTATAAAGTGTCTTAAAACTAGTAAAATAATCAAAGTTATTTTTAGTATTCTGCATGATCTTTCACATATAGGCCTATTATATAAACATGTGTTGTATAGAGAGAGATAGATCACAGACTCATGGTTCAGATCAACACAGACCAAAAAAACAGACCTTAAAAACTGTATTGTGTTTTGATCTCCAGATGTCTGGTACCTGTCCCCGTTGATCTGCGTGCTCTTCTTGGCCCTGATCCCTGTGTGGATAATGGTGGCCCAACGGAGCCCTCAGATCAAAGAGGTGCTAAGGTCCGGGTGGCAGCCGGTCATAGTCGCCATGTCTATTAGCAGGTCTGTTCTTATACTACATAGATACTTTTTAAATCTTATTGTGATGCGGTTTTAAACTATCTGCGTTTTTCACAGTTTCGGAGGCGTTATACTTGACAAAACAGTCAGTGATCCAAACTTTGAGGGGATGGCTGTCTTCACACCTGTTATAAATGGTAAGAACTGAATTTAAGTGAGACTTGGAGATGGAAGGGTTCAGACATGGATTCAAAGACCGCTCTTGCACTGCCCCCATGTGGACAGACCATGCTGGTGCAGTATAGTTACATATAGTTAGTATCAATTCTTTATTATCGTGTGTATGTTCCAAGCCCCGGTGATCCAAGATGGTGCCCTTTTCAAATGAATGGCTTGTGCTCAGTAGCGCATGGGACTTCACGGGCGCTGACATATCAGAGGAACTCTGCTATATTTGGGCATAGTCTGGTCCTACCGGTTCTGCGCAGTGGACGAACTTCCATGATGCGTTTGCGTCTCGCTCCGACCGATCAGAGCTGCTGATCAGAGCAGCGGTAGAGCCGAGTCAGAGCGGGAAGGAAACGAGCAGAGTTTGTGGCAGTAAAGTGTGGATTTAAAGAAAACCGAAGGATTTAAAAATAAAAAAAGTTCAGGATGACAAGGGACACTAAAATCTCCACAAAATCCAATCTTTATGAAAGCTGTAGGTTCTCTGTCAGGTGAGGTCGAGCTGTTTTAGTTTACATTGAGATCTATGGGACTTTTTTCTGGGTAGCCCTCGTGAATTGAGTCTGCAGGACCACGGGCGCCCCCTGTGCCCGTGGGTGGGACAGCTATAAGCTAGTTATACCCCAAATTTGATTAAACAATTTTTTTTTTAATGGCTGCTCTTTTTTGTAACATCTTTAGAAAATGTTTGTATGAAGTTAACATAATTCAAAATGTTATCGTGGCATTATATATAGCAATATTCAGTTATAGCTATTAGCCAACTATTAAGGCAGAGGAGGACCCATTCTGTGCATTATGTTGCATTTAAGAATCATGAATTTTCCCTCGGGTCACATTTCTATTATCCTATCATTTATTTTTATATAAATAGAATTACATGATGGAGTTCTGGTGATGTGGTTTTTGATGAATGAGTGAGAGTGGCCATGGATTGTCTGTGCTTTATTTCTTGGATGTAACACAAGAAGAAATATCTGCTAAACTACTCAAACTCTACTCAAGCAAATGGACTAAAAAGGAGCTTATACGTCTGTAAATGAAGCTTGAAAAGTAGCATTTTCAGAAGCAGTTGGAGCTATTTCAGAAAGCACTTCTGCGGGTATTTAATCCCAGTGTGGAAAACCTCATAATTTGACTGTGCCAAACTCTGAAAAGTCAAGTCATCATCTTGAAATTGTACAAACCACCAGACTTTATGCCTATAAATTACTTGTTTCTATTTAATAATCCTGGATTACTTGGAGTTACAAACACTGCATTGAGAAAAGCCACTGAAACATGTTGAAATCCACCTTGTGAAAAGTGTGTTTCTGTGCAGCGGTTTAAGGGGGAGGTGGAAAACTGCAGATGAACCACTAACGGGGCCGAGCCGAGCGCTGGCGTCCGACGGAGCTAACGGGCAGAGATTCTCACTGCCCATCTGGACTGTCCTGCAGCTCTGTCCACATCCACTCGGTGCCTCTCCTTCACCAATCTGCTTTGAATTTCCCTTCTCCTCTCCCTTCCCAGCTCACAAAGAACTTGTGTGCGGTTTTGGCTGGAAAGGGATAAGCATTTCATTTGTTTTAAATGAAGCACAGATCTTTCTGTCAACAATCAAACGGGTTCGGTCTAAACTCAGCCTTCCATTGATTTGGAGAAATGCCCCTGGATCAATAGGCTTTAGTATTTTGTAAAAATCTAATTTGGACTGAACATCCATTGTCATCAAATTGAAATTATATTTGAAATCAAATACATTATTGTGATCTGGCAGTGCTTTATGTTCTCTGTGTCACTTAGAATGACTGAGCTCATTATTCACTAGTGAAGATTGAAGCAGTGTTGTGCATTTACATCTTTTTCAGAATCTTTTCTTGTGTTTTCATTGTTCCTTCTCCCCTATATTTCTGATTCAGATTCATTTATTTGCCATTTGCAAGAAAACCCCATTGGAATACATCCGCAAAAGACCCCAGTATAGTTAAACTACAATCTAAACAAACTCTAACTTCTTAAAGGGACAGAATCTTTTAACTTATATCAACTTAAATTAACTTATATCATATTATACATGTCCCCAGTAAAAAGGTCAGCATGTGCAAATCTTTTTTGAAAGTGTGATTGTCATTTAATGATTTTGCTTGACCGCTAGTAGTGCACATTACATAGTTCTGTGCGTAGAGAAGGGCAGTTCTCCGCCATTGAAACCAACCAGTTTAGCCTTCTCTGGGCTTGTTTTTGGGCCAAGAGTGACTTTTGGACAATCCTGTAAAACCGTTTGAGAGGAAAGAAGGCGCTATACAAAACCAATGGGTAGTTCTCTTTCCGAGTACACCCCCACCGGCTAGGAGTGAGATTGCAGCGTATTTGAGCCGGGACGAGCCCCCACTGGTTCTACCACATTTTATTATCAATGAACTTTTATTTGAACAATTCATTGCACAAAAAAATCAGAATTCATTTTTTAAAGTCTCTAAAACTCCCTTGCTATTTCAAACACACCACTGGTTTCAAATGGGATTGGGAATAATTGTATTTGCTCCATCCAACCTGCGGGGATGAGGGGATTTTATTATATACTTGATTCAACATATACCCAAGGTTTTGTAAGTCCATTTCCTTAACGCTTCGCAATACCATTTTCCTTTGTACAACTTTGGTTTGTTGTCAAGTATTTCTGATGTACCACAAGCTGCCTGACACAAACTAAATCACTGCTCACAATGAGAACCATGTGGGAGAGTAGATAAGTCCTTTCCCGATGTGGACTTTGCTATTCAACGTATCTGTGAACCGTCTCCACCAGCCAGTGTTATCTGCCCTTTAGCCCCACTGTCTGTCAGAGGCTCCTCTTTAAATCGTAAACTGAGCCAGGCCCGCGTCACGACTAACTTAGACTTTTCCATGAGACTACAAAAGAGAATGAGTGTTACTGGTTTGAAGCGGTTTCTGGCCCAGTGTTTCTCTTTGCCCATAAACTTGTTTGCATGTGGATCTGAGAGTACACATCTCCTGTGTATAATTTGTTCCAAGATGAAATGACATAGTCAAGATTCAAGAATTGATTAGCCTTTAGCAGTAAAACCACATTGGAAAGACTGTGCAAGACTACCCCATTGCTATTGAAATATTCCAATTCAATTTAAATAACTGTTTTTATTATCCGTAAGGACGTTCATTTGCAGATATACTAATATAGCCTGGTCTTAGCCATTCATACACTCCAGTCAATTATCATTTTCTACATGGACGTCTGGATCTGATCCTAGTGACTGCAGTTTCCCATCCGACCAATCAGTGAGCGGGGAAGGCGGGTGCTGAAGAGAGGTGTCAGTGATGTCAAGAGTTTGCGCCGAATTTGCTGGTTGTAGTTTGGCAATGGCGGCAAATGTGAGTAGTATTATAGTAAAGCAAACCATTCTGGTTCGGCTCCAAATATATCAAGAAATTGAAGCCGGAGAAAGAGGAATGTTTAGTTAAATTCCTTGCTAGCAAATATGTTGTGGCTCTACTCCCTAGTGGCAAAAGAGATGGCTAAAGCTGCATTACATACTTCACAGTAAACTTAGATCCAATCGTTTCAATCTGCAAAAGGAGTTAACCCCTCTCACCTTAACGGAGCTCAATGAAGCAAATCCACACCCTAGTCAAAAATGAAATCAGTATGATGGTTTGGTAAGACCGGGCTAATCCGAAAACTGATTCTGCAGCTAATTTTTATTGTTCTCTTATGTGCAGGGGTCGGTGGAAACCTGGTGGCGATCCAGGCCAGTAGGATATCCACGTACCTGCACTGCTGGAGCCTTCCCGGAGTGTTGCCGTATCAAATGAGGCAGCACTGGCCCAATCCTTTTGTCACTTTCTTTTCTTCAGGTGCCAATGCTTTAAACACATTTTAATAACAGTTAAAGAAATATAGAGTTGTTGAAAGTTGTAATTCCTGTCACCAAGCTTGTTAGTGTGTCTCTATGCCAGGTCAGCCTCTTCATTTAAGCGCCTTTTGTTGTGTTTTATATAAGAACCCATCTAGTAGCCTATGTATAAATCTTCCCACCTCGTCCTCTCATTGGTCGAACAATTTAGTATTTATTTTTTGTACCAGGGGTGAACTCAAAGTCTGCGCGGGTGCTGCTGCTGCTGGTGGTCCCGGGACACCTGGTCTTCCTTTATGCCATTTCTATGCTGCAGGGAGACGAAGCCCCCATCTCTCTGGCTTTCGTCGTCTGCTACCTGTGTGCGGCTCTTCTACAGGTAACATTGTTGAACGCCTCGATGATGAGATGCTGACTCAAGGGGCTCTCCTTTAAGAAATCCTTACTGTCTTTGTAAAGTCTGATGCTACTGATGAGCTGAGTATTGATCCATAAAAATAAAAAAAAGTTATATGATTTTGTGATGGTGAATAGCAAGTTTTAAGCTTTAGTTACAAAAAACTAGCAGTGTATATGTTTTTTTATCGTGATCAAAGCCATCCTAGGGACCGACGTTGTACATTGGCCATGGCTATATTTCAGTGGGTTCAGTTATTACTAAATCATCTTATGCTATTAATAAAATATGCACACATCAATCTTTATTTGTAGAGCGCCTTTCATACCTTGGGCAACACAAAGCACTTCAGTCGCCTGCATGGTTGTGATTGGACACTTGGTTTCTGCGTATTTGCTGACCTAACGGCAGCATGTAGACAATTAACAGGAGAGGCCCCAGGATCGACCCCTGTGGCACTCCGCACATTACATATTGTGAACACATTTTTGAGTATGCGCTTTGTATCTTAATTTTCTAACTAAAAACCTTCCACGTGAATCTGTAACAAGTTAAATCAGTTGGAATAGATTCTTACTGAGAAGGACCTCCATGGCCTACACATTTAAACCTCTACATTGTATATTCATTATTTGTTTAAATCTGTCTCTTAAACCAGTGTTTTTCAACCAGTGTCTCCTGGTACGTCAGTGTGCCTTAAGATGTTGTTTGATGTGCCTTTTGGAAATGACCCAATATCACCTAATCGACCAAAATAATGTGAAAAGATTAGCAAAACGTTGAGCGCTTGTTTGATGTTCTATAATACACTTGGTGAGAATGACTTTTCAATGTTAATTAAAGCTTTTTAACATAATGAAGGTGTGGCATGGCTCAAAAGGTTTGGGGAACACTGATCTCGAGGTTTTTTACTTACATTTCATCTTTATCAAGAAGTTTGTTTCAGAACATACAGCTGCCACACAGTTCTCTGGCTGGCAGAGATGGATTAAGGCGATGATAATGAAGGGATGGATTCGGTGAATCAAAAGCGTATCAACTCCCAGCCACCTTTTAAAGACCTTATGCCGGGTTTGATTTATTTAGAAATACAGTTTTAATACCATTTTATATATTAGAAGAGAACTACTAAAGGTTTCAAAATCAATCCTCCCAAATCGAAATAACCCCATAGCAACGCCCTTAGAGACGAAAAAACTTCACAGCCCTTGGTGACGTCAGAGTGGGTACGTTTCAACGCTGTAAGTTGTTTACAATTTGGTATTCGTTCTTTTTTCGCGGATATTCAAGATGACAAGGCCGTGTACAGCGAGTCTGACATAAATACTAGATTGGTACTCTTCATCGGCACTGAGATAGTCCAGTGGTTGTGACGATGCACTGCCAATCCAGATACTGGGGTTCAAATCCCATCTCAGACACATTTTCACTCTCAAAACGGCAATTTATGTGTAGTGAGCAAATGTCACCTGTAGAGGGCAGTATTGTGTTGGGCATCAGTGGAGAGAAGAGAGCAAAGGCAGTCGTGTGGCATAGATCCATGGTTTTCAATGCATGGGCGTTACCCGCTGTGACGTCACACACAGGTTAGAGCATAGACAACTTAAATTCATGAAAAACACGTTCTTTTTATAAAATATAGGATTTTTTTTGCCGGAATCTATTTCAGATCGACATTGTCATGCAATTTTGATATCCACAATTTTGTTTTTAAACCCGGCATAAGGTCTTTAAAGAGCGACTAAACACCTGTGCCCAGCCTTACCCACATGAACATTTGAAAATTTTCTTTTAAAAGGGCGTTGCCTGGAGGACCAAGGGACAAGAAGGGGGGCTTAGAGTTGGGCGTGGTCTGGGCTGTGATTGACAGCTCACTTGTCTCACTAAAAAAAACAGACAGTTGTCATTGCTGCTTAAAACAATAGTTTACGGACCAGAAAGTCTCATTCCACCCTTGTTTACACACTAAGATAATTGTAAAGCTACACACCTGAACCTAATTACACTCAATAATCTCAGAATCACTCATGTAATTTAATTTCAATCCACTAGATGGCGCCAGAATACTCCAAACTGCAGCTGGGGCGTGTGTGAGAGTTGAATGGGTTCACATCACTGGCTCTGACAGACTGACGTCACACAAAACAACTGATGTCATAGAGAACTTCAGAGTCAATGGAGAGGCCAGGACCAAATTCAAATGTAGTACCACCAAAAAGGTGGCCACACAGCGTTTTTTGGCTCAAAAGTAATATTTTATCTAATTTGAACTAAAATGTCAAAAAAATGACCAGGATATGTAGAGAGCACTACAATAAACATATTTATGCAGTTTATGAGTTGAAAAAAGTTGATTTGGTGTTTAGTCGCTCTTTAAGGCTATTCTCTCACTGACAGAGCAGCCTTCTCCGGTGGACTCGCCACCTGCAGGAGGATCAGTGAGGGATGGACCTTTCTCCATTTTGTTGTTGTTAGTTAGTTCCAATTATTTCAAACCTGCAGAACACAATTTCACATATGTTTACACTAATGAAGGTATGAAGCAGATGCATATTTTTTCCCATGCTTCCATGTTTTAGCATGTATTATTCAAGGTAAAATAATTGATTTGCCATTTGCAGTAAAACCACAGTGGAAAGACTTTGCAAGACTACCCCAGTGTGCATCAGAGAGCACACACCAGAGCTCTTGTCACGGCACAATTTATACTCTGCCATGTGTTACTTAATTTAATCAAACATGTATTGATATGCAGTGAACATGACCAATGAAGAAAGAGATGACTTGAATTGACCAACGCTGCCATCTAGTGGGGAACCAAAATTTGGCTATGTATACATTAAAATCAAAGTTGGTCTAATTGTACAGAACATAGTTTGAATGGAGACAATGTCAACATAATCTTTTGTAAGAATACTGTAATGTAATGGTTGGTCTGGATTCATCATGGAGTTGGCTACGAAGTTTGGCAAGGGGCCTAAAGTTTGTGGGATTGTGTGGATTTGTGACCATAGTGTTGCCGTGTTGAAAACTAGTTCAGGTTTTTCCCGAGATATTTCTTTTGAATGACCTCCCCAATTGTTGTTTCCAGGTGAGCATCCTGTTGTACGTGGCTGACCTGATTGTGCGCATGATGTGGCGGCGCAGTCTGGACCCGGATAACTTCTCCATCCCGTACCTCACGGCGCTGGGAGACCTGCTGGGCACTGGCTTCTTGGCCATGTGCTTCCGCTGCGTGTCCCTGGTCCGCAGCCTCTGAACGCACACGCCGCCTCCATGATCACGCCGCGCAGAGAGGCTTGGACTGCACATTCAAAGCGTTCTCTGTTTCGATTCTGTGGCCAGTAAACTCACAACTGTCGCACATAACATTCAAAGCACATCAGGAACACAGACGGATCCGCCTGGAGTCATTCCTGATCAACAAACTGAAGTCGGCCGTCTACATGGCATCTGTCCATAATCGGAGGCACTTTAATTTAAATTGAATGTAATCATGGACTTCATGAAAAAGAGAGTTGTCTTACTGTTGTGTGTGTCTCCAAAGAGGTGGAACGGTTTCGGATCTGTGTTGTTCAATAGTGCTTCTGTCAAAACATTTCTGGGAAGTAAAACAGAAAATAAATGTTCCTATATGTATTTTTGGAGTATCTTAAATAACAATAGATGAAAATGTGCCACTCGTAATCCATCAGAAGTGTAAACATGCTTCTTTTTTAAGTAAAACCCAACACAAAAATGCAGGATTTAAACCAAAACTATGCAGAATATGCACATGTGAAAGATATTGTTCACATGGAGCTTTCACTGTCATTTCTGCTTTATTTTGACTATTTTTGAATACTTTTCCCCCCTTTTCTTATCATGTCAATGCAAATGTTTCATAAGACTATACATTAGACACATTGGAACATATTTGAAATTGAATATTGACACTAATCAAACATCGATGTTAGTCCCTTTTACTGAATCTACCTAAATCAGGGGCGTCAAACTGGTTTTAGAAGTGGCCAGGGTGGCTGCAGATTAAAATTCAAACCAAGCAAGAGCAAACCCAGCCTGGTCTTCCCACACCATCGTACTAATTTCATTTCCTACTAAGGTCTGGATTTGCTCCATTGAGCTCCGTTAACAGGTGGGAGGGGTTAACTCATTTTGTAGATTGAAACGATTGGATCAGAGTTTGGATGTGATGCACCCGAGTGAGCGAGGCATTTAGCATTTAGCCTAGCTTTAGCCATCTCTTTTGCCACTAACGGAGCCCGTGGGGAGTAGAGCCACAACATATTTGACAGTAATGAAATTAAATTTACTAAATGTTCCTTTTGCTCCGGCTTCAATTTCTTGATATTTGGAGCCAAACCAGAACGGATTACTTTACTATCGCATTTCCTACTGTTGCCAAACTACAACCAGCTAATTCAGCACCGACACCAACCAATCAGCGAGCGGGGGAGGCGGGTGTTTTAGGTCGGAGGGGATTCAACCGAGGAAACTGGAGCCATTAGGATCAGACCCAGACGTACATAATAATGGCCCCGAGTTTACGAATAGCTAAGTCCAGGCTAGAACAAACCAGACTCTGGACTAACTTGAGAATATGGTTGGAGTGTGCTCCTGCTTGGTTGGGATTAAAACTTTCTGTCACACCAACTCTTTTGAGGACCAGTTTGACACCTCTCACCTAAATCAGCCAATTAATTGGTGTATTCTCTGCAAAGGCGAACAAGTCACATGTTTTGTCTTGTTAGTGGAAAAGTCACCCTGGTTTTAGCCATTGCAAACTGCACTAACACTGTTTTTTTCTGTAAAACGTTTGTGGAATGTATTGTAGTATCGGTGAAGCAATAAGATTTAGCAACACACACTCGCTACGACACTGATCGCCTCCAGCCTCATTCACATTTTGGAAATACACACATTTCTCAGGCACAGACGGCATTTTGTCTGTTTTCTTTGTTCTCCAGTTGCAGTAAAGCATCATTACTTGACTTAACCGTCCCAGAAACAAGCCTTACTCTTCACTTCCTGAACCATAAGGCCCCATCCTGTCAGAAGAGATTGTTGCATCTGATTGTATGTTTTTAAGTTACCGGAAACAGTTTAGTTTGTAGTTTTGACAATTTGTGCTATAAAGCTTTGGTACAATACAGAGGCATATACTGTATCTGCGGTAGATTTACATGCCGTGTGTTTCTACGTTTGGATTTAAACCTGTAGAGCCATCGTCTACAAGATCAGTGCTTTGGTCATGAGAGAAATCCCACTGCCATACACTGTGTCTGACCGTGTACGTCTGACTCCGAGAGCGTCCACATTTATGTCACTAACTGTTTGGTCTCTCATTATTTGGTGTACTCTAATTCTGTTTCTGTGGCATCAAATAATATTTTATTACAAATAAACTATTTAAAAAGTGTGTATGTGATGAGTTACTGATTTCAACTTAAACATTGGACCCTTTCTATATCTAGTTTATTCTTATTTTGTGTAGTTCAGTTTTTTTTTTTGTATCTATGACTCAGTAAGATCATTATTGCATAAGACACCATAACTGGGAGGGGATGCACCGATTGTGAAATTTTGGGTTTTTCTTTTTGTTATTGATGCAGATATTTACTTCTTGGCGGCTTCAACTCTTCATGAAATCTCTGTCACCTCTGCATGCTTCTCAAATGTCCAATCAGATTCTTTGTGGTAAATTATTTTCTAGCAGCTTTCGAAATCTCTCTGAACTCGTGCAAACTGAAAATACAGAGGAAAGTGCACAGACGCTACCTCCACACACGTGCCCAGCATCAGCATTTGACATTTTTATTTGCCGTTGGTAGTTAAAGCTGCACTAACTCACTTTGTGGCCTTGCTCTTTCTGCTCCCCCCGCACTCACGAAGCTATCACCCCCCCATGCAGCTTTAAAATCGGCAAATATCGGCCGATACCTATTTTCCGGCAGAGCATCCCTACCACTAGAGACCACAAAGACCTACAACTCACCTTTAAAAATCCAAATCTACTGATGGGATTTGAGAAACGTTTAGAGCTATGATTTATTTTACTATTTCAATGTCGCACTACTTTTTTACATCTTTATTATTAATTCCAAATCATTATTTAAACGTTTGGGTATGAACTTCTGGTGGGTGCTTCTACCTTAAGTGAATTGAGCAAAACTGCCAAACACATGCATTTACAAGAGCCATATTAAGCCTAAATTACTTTTTATTTTTTAGCTTTTACCCATGTTAAAACTATGTCCGTCCCCTCATCAAAAACAGACCTGGTGCTGTTTTTAGATCCATCCATCCTCATACTAGGAAACCCTGACACAAACATGTAACTTCTGCCTAAAAGCTCCCGTCTCAGTCCTCGTAATGGCTGGTACCTTTATGACAGTACTACTTTATAACACAAACTCTACTCCCTCTGGTGGTAGCATAGGGATATAGCAGGCTGACATCAATTTTTACCCTTCATACATACATTTTCCTCTGAAGATAACATTTCACATTCAATAACATAAAATGAGCAAGTAAATTGTCTCATCCTAATGTTGAATTGCCAAAAATAATGCTGACTTCTTCTTCTTTAACTCCACATGGCTAACCCTGAAAGAGCCAGGATCTATGCCCACAACGGAGGCTCTGACCTGGGCAAGCGCAGCGCTGGACCGGCCTCACCACAGATATGCCACTGTTTGTTCAGTGTACAGCCAACGGACCACAGCTAAAACGGGAGAGCGTGGAATGTTTTCATTAGGATCTACCATAGTGTGGGAGCTTATGCAAATGACGACAAAACTAAACTGAAAGATAGAAAACATTCTATTGAAAATCACATTCAGAAACAGTGGGTCTCCTTGCATTTGCTACACCCGCCACAAAAACGCACAAAGTTGTTTCTTACAAATATTTATCCCTCATTCCGGTGTACAACAAGCCCTTACGAATAAATTAACTCAGCCACAACACGACATACATAAATAGAGTACAGTAAAGCCGGTGAGATGAGATAGTATTCACAGTCTGATCATCCACCTCTGTGCTTGGGGAGAGAAGAGCCTGCTTCTCTGCAAGTTTCTTCGAGTGTCTCCGGGCAAAACATGGAGAGGAAAAAAGGAAGAATGAGAAGGTAAGGCAAAAGTCCATTAATTATTAACGGCATAATACAAAAACAAAGATAAAGACACATTTGTGAACTTGCAAAATAGGGCTGGGCAATAAAAAAATACAGTTTGGAGTCATAATTAACTATGTGGAGATACTGTATTTCGCGGTTTGCCATAAACTTGCACCTTTATGCTGTTAAATTTGGTATATTAAAGCTGGGGTACCTAAAAATCCATATAACTAGTCTGTAGTTCTTCAAAATGCTTTGGTTCAGTCACAAGTTTTCACATTTAGATCAACTTTTCAGGGAGAAAATGTGGAAAATACAGAGAACCAATCAGCTCTTTCTTAGTATGACAGATGTGCGAGTCCGATTTGTTCACATTTTACTTTCTGTTGGACAAACGTGCATAATTTATAATAAAAAGTAAGGGACCCCAGCTTTACCAATAACATGTAATCAATCAATGGTAGCATTACTATGTCTTACGTCCCTTTTCTCTTTTCCAACTTCACATTTCTTCGACCTGGCAAGCAATTCTCATTTTAACAATTGCAAAATTCTCTTGGAACAGTTAGTGGAGAAAAGCTGATCGGCGAAAGCTTAGTTTTAAAGCTTTCCAGGCCAGTTGGCAAAGTCAAGAATCTATAATCTCTCAATGTGGAGGCATTCTACAGAAATACACAAGATTCAAAACAGGTCTAGCACAAACACTTTTCGCACAATTTAAGTGGCTATTTTTACTATTACGAGTTGATATTGAAGTTTCTCCTGAAGAAAATGAATTGGATGAGAACTACAGATGCCTAGTTGCTTGCATGAATAGTATTGACTACATATTGACGACGCAACATATGGCCCAGCCCTGTTCTGCGTGTTGAGATAAGGCATACCATTGCAATTTGCTTTGGAAGGCAAGAGCTAAAGAAAAAACATACATGTCTGGTCTTTATATCAACGCAAAGTCTGAGCAAAAGTGAAAGCAGAGTCCAACAGTAAAGGCAGACTATGTCGATCAAAGCCAGACCGACCGAAAAATAAGCCACACATCTTTTCTATAGAGACAGCTTTGTAACAGCAGATGACAAGTCTGTGACCGCAAAAATAGTGCAAAATTCTAACACATCAAAGTTTTTCGCCCGATCGTCTCTCTCTCTCTCTCTCATCTAGTTCTAAGATATCCTGGAGTGGAGTAATTAAAAAGTAGGTAATCCATGCGGTACAAGTTAAACAGTTTCTTTTGGTAGAAGGGGCTGATGTGCTGAAAAAACCCGGCAGCCATATTCCCGTCAGTTCGAGTGCTCTTATGCGACGTGGGAAACTGAACCGCCCGATCCACCCCGGCCAGTTTAAGCACGGCCTGGGCATCCGGCTCTAGCGTCTCGTATTTCCCCACCACGTCGTAGTGGATCATGCAGGGGTGGCACAGCGACTGCACCCGCTCCCAGTGCTCGTTGTAGGAGTCCTCCCTCTGCGTCCGCGGATCCACCAGATACTGGACGAACTCTAAAAACGAAACGTCGCTCCCTTTCTCCAGCGCTTCCGGCTCCGGGTTGGGTCTGTGCCGGCGGATGATTTTGGTGCCGTAATGTTTGTGGAAGGCGGTGTTGTAGTTGCGGGTGAACTTGTTGCGGTAGGCGGACACCAGGCGCTCGAAAGGCTCGCGCACGAACAGGAACTTGAGGTAGGAGCGAAGGCGCTGGTTGATCTCGGAGACGGAGAGGTCGGACATGCGCCGCAGGTTTGCCGGGACGTGGGCTTCGCTGGCCGGGATGGACAGAGGGTCGGTGTAGCGGCCGTCACTGCTGAGGACCATCATGACACGCTTCCAGTTTGTGCAAGCGACCTGTGGATGAGAGAACAGCGGCTGAAGGAGATGGAGGGGATGGGTTTTTCTATGGTTATGGGTAGGGCACGACATATTGAAAAAATATTGTTATCGCAATACTGGTTTTTAATTAATTTGTTCCTTTTATTAAAGACAACCAAACAGACAGACACATCAACAACAAACAAACAAAAAAGTATATAAATATATGCATTTGAAGGTCATTAATGTTGTGCTTATTTTTTGTTATTTGTCTCTTGCGTTTCAATGTAGATTGCAATTTTAGGTGACAGAAAAAAATATCGCAATAATATTGTTATCGCAATACTAAACACTCATATCGAATATCGCTCTAATTTCCAATATCCTGCAGCCCTAGTTATGGGTGATGTCAGTACGCATGATGTATGGCTCTCAACCTTTGGTCGTTTAGTAAGTAATATTTATCTCAAACCTACAGCATTCATGAAACAAACAAGATATAAAAGTACAATATACAGTTCCAAATGATTATTTTATTACATGTTTATTTGATAGAAAGCATTATTACAGCTAACCGTTGCTATGTTCATGTTCATAGGCCGTATCACTAACAGCTAATTTGCAGACCTGTGCCTGAAAACATAAAAATACACACATTTACATAGATCACTGGGGGTTGGACAAAGTCAATTCTCGTTGGGTTGCCATCAGGGGTGTCCAAACCTTTTAGTAAGAGGAACACATTAGTCCAGCAGAGTTCAGGGGCAGTTAAAATGGGGTATAATGTCCGTACAGATCCACAATGCAGCTACTTCAGCATGACTGTCATGACTGGATTCCAACAGTCATCAGCTGTTTTGATGGAGCTGATGTTGGCTGGATGATGCATAAGTTAGGTTAGTTTGTCCAGTGTTTCCCAACTGGAGGCATGCGGACTTCCAAATATTAAGAGATCCTTTATTCGTCCCACAGTGGGGAAATTCCTGTGGGCACTTCCGAGTATCACACACAACTATTGACTATTTGTTTATTTCATTTGTCCCCCATGATTTTCCTGCTGTGAGCAGAGTTTGAGTCAAGTATGAACCAAAATAATAATTAAAGCTTTTGCAGTACAGTAGATTCCAGGTGATTTTGTGTTATTCCAGTTTATATTCAAATTCAAAGCTGAAATAGTTGACGTTGTGCATAATCTGCAGAAGAACAACTCGTTCTGACCTGAATCTCAGCGGCTCAACTGTATCTTTGAATATCTTTACATCTTTGAGTGTGAAGGTTTTAACAAACTTCATAGACGTTACTGAACTAAACTAACGCACGGTGCTTAACTAAACTGTACTGTAAATAAAATGTGTGATATAATTATTATTATTTTTTTTTTTTTTTACATTTTTGTTTTAAACAGGAAAGTTGCAGGAGGAAACCACAACAAAGTGACTTGGTTCCAGTTTTCTTTTTATAAGTAAGTAAGTAATGTTTATTTATATAGCGCATTTTACAGATCAAGGCCACCCCAAGCGCTTTACAATGTTCAGAGTTCAGATATTGTTCCAATCATTCCACACACGGTAAATATTTATGCAGATTCTCATTTATGCATGCCTTCTTGATTTTACTCTGCTTTAACTGGTTTGCACCAAGAGCCAAAGCCATTCCCTCGTTTGTGACTACTCACATGGCAATACAATAATTCTGATTCTGATAATTACATGTTTCTATGTCACTATTTTTTATTCCCCCAAACTCCCCATAAAAGTGAAATGACCAAAGCTTGACTCATTCTTGGTTCGCAGTTTCCCAGTTCCCAGCCCGCACTCCTCGATGACAGCTATTTCCAAACATATACAGTACATTAAAATGGACTTACGACTGTATATAAGCCGTTAATTCAACATCTCTGCCATGGAAACAGTGTTTGCGTTGGCCGGTTTTGGAAGAGAGCACACTTTCACCTCGCCTGAACTCACCTTGGGCACGTAGCAGTATATAAGGCTGTGTTTGTCGTCCACAATAAGGTGTTTGAGATCGCTGGGGGAGAGGACTCTGCGCTTTTTGGTGTGACTGAGACAGGCCTGCTCCAGCAGCTCACGCCGGCCTTGGAGAGTCCTCTGCTCCGTCAGCAGCTCCAACTGTGTTCCATATACAAACAAAACATGAAATGAACTTAGGGAACTTTGTCCTCTGCATTTGACCCATCCTGGAATACCACTTTGGTCTCTTCCAGGTGCAGTGGTTGCCGTAGTAACCTGGTCAGGACTAAACCAGAGCTGGAGGATTTACCTGTTGTGTATGTTTACTTTAGAATGCGCTGGGAACGGCAGAACGTCCTACATGTCTCTGAAACAGTTGTTGTTTCGTCATTTACAATTGTTATTTTTCTTGCTTTTTTCTGCCTGAGATGTTGCTGCAGTACAGTGTTCATGGTTTTACACTGGTCCAGATCAGAGCAGAGAGGATTCATGGTCCGAACCAAGTGGACCAGGTGAAAATCCAACGGAGGAATGCTAACCTTTTGATAAAAAAAAAGTTTGCACTCTAGCGGCTGCTCCACCGTTCTTCTGCTGTGACCAGAAGAACTGTTGAATTTTTAAACAATTGTTAGCTAATTTTAGAATTATCTATTTATTTGTTTTGTTCGATTGGATGTGTTTCTGCTGCTACTGGACACCTGCATTTATCCTACGGGGATAAATAAAGTGTCTATCTATCTACCAATCTATCTATCAATCAATCCCTCTACATGTTTTTTTCACAAACACTGTCATACTATCAATTCAACTTATGTAGATACTTTTTGGATGACAAATACTGATATACTAATATTTTCAGGTTTATATATTGTAGAGTGAGTGTTGACCTCATCCATAGCTTTTTCCAAGAGAAGCCAGTTAGGAGAAAACTATCAACCTCAATGAGCAGGTATTTGGAGCCGAATTGTCGGACAGCAACCACATAGCAACCAAAGAGCCAATCAGGAGTGTTGATCGTCTGTATCCAGGTGTGCTATTCGGTAAACTAAGCAGAGTTTGGGGTTACATGCCACATGATTGGTCTGTTTTTAAGAGTTGTACATGGATTTATATATATATTTTATATATGGATTGACATTGGCATAATAAACATCAAAACAGAGTCATGTTAAAGACCTTATGCCAGGTTTGATTTATTTAGAAATACAGTTTTAATACCATTTTATATTAGAAGAGAACTACTAAAGGTTTCACAATCAGTTGTTGTTTTTTTTGTCTGATCCCCCCAAATCGAAATAACCCCATAGCAACGCCCTTAGAGACGAAAAAACTTCACAGCCCTTGGTGACGTCAGAGTGGGTACGTTTCAACGCTGTAAGTTGTTTACAATTTGGTATTCGTTCTTTTTTCGCGGATATTCAAGATGACAAGGCCGTGTACAGCGAGTCTGAGATATATACTAGATTGTAACATTTTGTTGTCACTGAGATAGTCCAGTGGTTGTGACGATGCACTGCCAATCCAGATACTGGGGTTCAAATCCCATCTCAGACACATTTTCACTCTCAAAACGGTAATTTATGTGTAGTAAGCAATTGTCACCTGTAGAGGGCAGTATTGTGTTGGGCATCAGTGGAGAGAAGAGAGAAAAGGCAGTCGTGTGGCATAGATCCATGGTTTTCAATGCATGGGCGTTACCCGCTATGACGTCACACACAGGTTAGAGCATAGACAACTTCAATTCATGAAAAACACGTTCTTTTTATAAAATATAGGGTTTTTTTTGGCGGAATCTATTTCAGATCGACATTGTCATGCAATTTTGATATCCACAATTTTTTTTTTAAAACCCGGCATAAGGTCTTTAAAGTGTAGGTCAAACCCCAAAATGTGAAGCTTTGGAAGGAGGGTGAGACAGGAATTGAATTGTATTACTTACAATATATCTTTGTCTGTATCTTCACTAACAAAGTAGATGGATGAAATTAAAATCAATAGAGAAATATCTGATGTGTTTTTTCACCTGATCCCCATTGTACAGAGTCTGGAGCGGACTCCTCCGGCTTTTCCCCGCCAGCCTTTTGCTGGTCTTCACACCAGCATCTGTAAGAGGACGGGACGAGATCAGATAGTAAGTAAGTAAGTAAGTAAATCATGTTTATTTATATAGCGCATTTTACAGACCAAGGTCACCCAAAGCGCTTTACAATGTTCAGAGTCAGATATTGTTCCAATCATTCCACACCCAGTGATGTCGGAAGCGAGTCCAGAACACACTGACGCATCAGCTCCAATCAACACCATCCATTCACTCTCTCATTCACATTCATACCTATTGTGTATGTTTTTAGTGGTAGGGGAAACCGGAGCACCCGGAGGAAACCTACGCAGACACGGGGAGAACATGCAAACTCCACCCAGAAAGGCCTTGTCCCGACCGGGATAAGATAAGATGTGACATGACACCCTCAGCAGGCATGTGGCTTTGAGACATGATTTAAGAATGACATTTTCCCTCCAGGAAGTCCGCAACGTGGTCAGAAATGAGAAACACATTTTACTATGTGTCATACGTTTGCAGTGAAGCTTAAATTACACTATAAAGATGACCGTACACTTATGGGCGAGTGAAGTGAGGGCCAACTTTCCAAGTCCCTGCCCCTCAGTCTGAGGCCCTCCTCCTCTCATTATACACTCCATAGGAACACTCTGTTCCTGCGCAGCTTTATCTGGGACTTCTCACTAACTCCACTGATGCATCCAAAAGTTTGCTTCTCCCTTTGCTACTTGGAGCCCGCTGTTAATTCAAGAGTCACTTCATGCATCCTGAGATTCGATCAGAACTTTTGAGGCAGTGAGAAAACTATATGAAGGGTTTTCTCTTCTGTCTGTTTCTGTCCAACCATTACCTTCATGAAGTGTATTTGGTGAAATAAGCACTCGTCCAAACATTTGACTTAGTGTTTTACTTTGAAGTGTGAAATGTTTCTAATCCAATAGAAACAGCCCAGTAATAACACTCCATCTCTCCATTAGCCTTTATCTTTCACAGTAAGGAGGGAGCAGAAGTGGGATGATGTACGCAGGCTCCAAATGAAGCCTGTGAAATGTGGGGAACACAGGTTTGTCTCATATGAAGAGTATATCACAGATGTAGCAGTAAAACACCAGGGCAAAGGGTACAGTCAGGAAGAATGTGGTCCAGACACAACTGTCTCTGCAATTTACATGAAACAAACAAGCTGGATACAAATCATGGATAATTAAACTGGATTTACTGATATAGAATATATGTTGGTTTTTATTTACCTGCTGCTTAATTATAATAACTTTCTTTACTTGAGGGACGTGTGAATGATGGCCAAAACGTGTTAACATTTTATACACACATCTCAAGGCTCTTCTGGTTTAACTAAAGAAATTAAGAAAATATATATTTTTAGAAGAAAATTCTTTTTGGTTCACAAGAAATGTATTCAAAACTCAACCAATTATATTATGGTCATGTCACAGATCCATCATTTGGGAAACACTACATCAGAGCCAAACAAATAGAGCTCATTATTACGGCCTGTCTCTGTCATGAAGGCTAACGGTGATACTCCTCCTACTTGAAACCAACCAAATTGCACTGTGCCGTTGGCAATAAAGGACAGCTAAAGCTCGGTTTGAAGCAGAAAGGTTTATGGGAAACCAGAGGAATTAAAGAAAGCCTTTTTTATCTGCTCCCTAACTTATTTTTGGGTCTTTTCTAGTGGTTGAATCGCTCATGGCAACGGCAAAGTGCGAGGTTGGTGATGATTATAACATAGAAGAGCCCAGCCCATTTCAGCAGCACATTAGTTTATCAAAATGTTAGTAATCAAACTCTGAACCACATCTTCTTCCTCTAATTTGAAGCACAAAATGAAGGAACCTAGTACACACAGGACTGGTGACAAAGCGAAACGACAAGTAGTGGCTTGTTACTCAAACACTGACAAAGTTAACTTCCTCAATGAGGTCCATGTCGCGTCATCAACAACTTCATGTGAATTCAAAGTCTATCTCTTTGAAAAAGTCTTGTACTGTAGGTATTGCAAAACCTGCATTTGAGTAATCAAACAGTCATCGCTCTGACTAACAGACATAACTGATGTCTGAATTTCCCATCAAACCTTCCTCAAACACAAGAATAGTGCATATGTCAAGCCAATTTTGAGACCAAAGCCAGAGAAAATATGATATGGTCACAGGGATGTGGTAAAATACTAATGCTGTCTGAATCATCAAACTGCAGTAGGCCCAGATAAGCCCTCTTAACGGACTTAGTGGAGTGGAGAATAATTAATGGGGAATCAGAGCTTGTGATAAACAGAAAAACTGTACAGTATTTACCATCCAAACGCCCAAAGCAAACCCTGAGAAAAATCATCTCACAATGGAGACATAATGTAGGTGTCATTTTTGGTGACGCTGGGTTCTAGGTGCGTCCCTTTTGAGCGTTCCTGACTCCTTCATGTGCTGCTGTTTGTTTGTCTGTGTGATGTCAGCTGTGGACTTTATCAGCGTTAGACTGAAAGCCTGAGGACGTGGGTGGTCTGTAGTTTTAGTCAAGTCCAGTCGGCAAAACCCAAACCAAACAGAACATCAAACAAGGATTTACCCCTCAGACTTAAAGAGGCTTCCATCGGGAGCGGATGTTGTTCTGGCAAAGGTTCTGCTGTTTCAGATGGCAGATTCTTCAGGGAGTAGGACGGGCAAGTAAGGCAAGGCAAGTTTGTATCGCACAATTCATACACAAGGCAACTCAAAGTTCTGAACAAGACAAAATAGCATTAAAATCATAAATAATCACAGTTAAAAAGAAAGATAAAAATATAAAATCCCTCAGTTGTAGCAGCTTTAACCTGGATTTTATCAGAGAGGAGGCCTGTCTCACATCTTCAGGGAGATTGTTCTAGATTTTAGCAGCATGAATCTGAAATGCAGCCTCCCCATGTTTAGTCTTGACTCTGGGACCAGCAGGAGTCCAGTCCCTGTGCTCCTCAGAGTCCGGGCTGGTTCATATGGGACTAACATGTCACTACTGTAGTAAAGTAAAGGGAGACTACACTAGTTCAATGCCCAGTAACAGATAAAGACATCATTCTCTTTATCTTCCTGAATATAAAAAACAGACTTTTAAACAAAAAAAGTTGTCTGGAAATAAGACAAAAAAATATTAAAACAAGCAAAAAAACTTACTGCTCAGACTTTTTTTTTTTCTAATAAAATGATGAAGTATCTTAAAACTAGTACAATAATGTTATGACAAACTACCTTCAAGCAAAAAAAAAATACATACACAAAAATAACCCTAATTTATGTTATTATTTGTAAATAAATGACTTTTTTCAGTGAATGTGTGGATGTATTTGTATGTCTCAAAAGTAGAAGAAAACTGTTTGTATCTCGGTGGTAAAACTGTCTCAGAGGCCACACCACACTCTGTTCTGACACAGGAAATGACACACTTCAGCCACAACATTAACACTTCAAGAGAAAACAGTCAAATATCAGTCGTTAGGGTTTGGGTTCACTCAAGATACTTTTGTCCACTGCATTTGACCCAGACTTTTAACAATGGTAAAGCTCTCTGTGACTCTGGTCTGCAAAAGGCACTGTAGAGAAAAGATCTTAATTAGGGTCAAAGTCAAACAGATCTGTAGCCGTTTAGAGGCTATTTTGATCTGTACCAGAACTTATTTTACAACTTATTGAAACATTTATTACAAGTTCAAGCTCTATCCATCTGTATTGTCCCACTGGGGGAAATTGGTTTTGCAGCAAACAATCTAAAAACAGACAGATACAGTAAAATTACAACATTGGAGAAAACAAGAACAAGAGAGATTGTCACAAATCTTTCTCACGCAATCGATTTTTGTTATTTATTTTTTTATAAATTAGTATCAACACTTAATATATGGTTACATTGCGCATCTCCATTCCATTTATCATGAAATAAAGTGTATTTTTTCACTTAACATTTTTCTTTTATTTATGCCTATATGTGCTGTATTTGAATCCAGATTTGAGATGACTTACACTTATAACTATTTCGTGTTTATTTAGATTGCTTTACTGAAAGATTTCTATAACAGTATATTTCTGACCAATATATCGATAATCGTCATACCGTGATATAATCGTTATCGTGAGCTTTGTATCGTATCACGTATCATATCGTATCGGGAGGTACCCTGAGGTTCCCACCCCTACTCACAAAGCTTGTTTTCAGTGCAAATGTGCTGTAAAGTGCAAAAGTTTGTGCAAGTAAGTGCTATGTGCTGTCAGAGCCGGCGCTTCCTATACGCAGACTACGTAGTATGCGTAGGGCCCCGCAGCCGGAAGGGCCCCGGAGTGCGGGGGCTCTCACTCGTGTTGTTACGAGGCCCTTCATATCCGGAATCACCCATTTGATTGGTTGTTAAAGTTGTCACTTGCTGTCTCCCATGATCCTATACGTTACGTCCTTACGTCGCACTTTCAACCCTCCCCCTCCCTCCCCCTTGTTGTTGTCAGTCGCACAGCCACAGCAGAGGCAGAGACGCTGAAGCAGAGTGATGAAAAAAGGAAAAAAGACAGCGAACTGCGGGAACAACAGACGGGTAAAAAAACGTGTGGTTCCCGACCCGACGCATTGACTGTCTGCAAAGAAAGTTGAATATTGTGTCTGACATGTTTTATTTCTGCATTTAACGAGTCCCAAAACAACTTCATCAGTCAAGCTCTTTGTTGTGGTTAAGGTGGACACCTTCAAAATAATCGTGCTTCCTTTGATAATCGGAAGTATTTTTTTACATTTGTAATTTAGACATAATACTAACAGTGTTTGTATAATGCGCTACTAATATTAATATTAATACTAGTGGTGATAATAATGAAACTAGTTATTATTTTTATTCTATATAAAAAATGTATATATATGTATATATATATATATATATATATATAAATTTATATATATTATATACTTATATTATAGCTAATATTTGTATTTTGTTTATTTTTGTATTTTAACATGTTTGTACACTTGTCTTTCTTACACAATTTATTCTATCCGTGCCAAATGTGACATG